CACACAACACTACATTTAAATAAGCAAGGAAAACATTGTGATAGTGAATGCGTGATATGAGAATATAGGAGAGGTGAAAAGCCTATGACAGAAGAGATACCACAACTATTTTGCGCAAATTTGGTAAAAAGATCGGCTTCACTTGTCTTTTTGATTAGTTGTAGTGTGGTGCTAAGAATAGCAAGACTCACCGACGATACCGGCAAAACGTCTGGGAATGTACCACATATGAGAATATAGGATAGGTGAATAGCCTATGACAGGAGAGATACCACAACTATTTTGCGCAAATATGGTAAAAAGATCGGCTTCACTTGTCTTTTTGATTAGTTGTAGTGTGGTGCTAAGAATAGCAAGACTCACCGACGATGCCGACTACGATACCGGCAAAACGTCTGGGAATGTACCACATCCACGGTCCGACTCTGGAAATTATCATGCATGCAATGGACTCCTGACTAGGTGCGCTTCTCAAAGTCTTCCTAACGATATTAACAAATTGCGAAAACAAGGTCAAACAACTTCTATACAACGAAAGGAGACTGCGACCAGACAAAAGGCCACAACATCTTGGTCTTCATACCATTGAAGAAAACTTTAAGCATATAACTAAGTAAGTGGGGGCGAGTAAAAAATTCACGACAGGCCAGCAGTATGCTGATAGGATAATTTAGCTCCACATGCTGATTAATTGCAACGTATTCAAGCTATTAAAATTTAATTCTGACATGAAGCACCTAAGAAGCACAAACAGCTTGCAATTCATTACTAGCATTGCCTTTTTAAAAACCAATAAATATTGTGGCATGATATTCCATATCGAAGGGAAAGTTCGTTGTAAGGAATTCGTGATGTGGTCTCATTGGAAACCGAAGGAGGTTTGCCGCGTAGGGAAGACTGTTGAATTGTGCGAAGAAATGTTGGGCTCACCACCTTGCGACCCCGATGAAACTGTACTAAGCTTTCGTAAGTACTGTGACAAATATTATCAGAGTAATAATCGGGACTTTAGGAAATAACGAAAAATAGACTAAACCAAGAGAAAAGGTGGCCGGCTGCAACCCTAATCGCTTTTTTATACACTTAACTTCGCGGTCATAATGAGGCATCCCATGATCTGGCTGGCCACTCCAATCTTACTCTACATGCTTGCAAATGAGTGAAGTTGCTTCCTGAACCGAAAGTGCGCTCAGTGGCAGTTGTTTCCTTACATAAATAAACTAATTTATGATCCTCTAATGTAAATTAATGCTTGGGCTTGGATGGTATGGATTCCTTCTCTGAAGACGTCTGTCACATTACAGATGAAAGCCTAGCACTGGTTCATCGGAGAGGCATGGCGGTGAACCGAGGGCTTCTTCGCACAATTAAAGTCTCCCCTATGCGTAAATTCTCTTTTGGTTTCCGATGAGATCACATCACGAATTCATTACAGCTAACTCGCCCTTCGAAATGGAAACTCATGTCATAATATATCACTAAGGGATTCTTCGAAACTATTTTTCTTCATAGCCAATATATATGCCTTTTTATTCAAAATATAAGATAAGCAAACTTGACCAAGCATATAGGATTTTTAATTCTCGCAGTGTTCCGTGAAGATTTCACATTATCGAAGCAAGATTAGTGTATGGTCGCAAGTCAGTCAGGAAAAAAAGCTCGTCGAATAGTATTATCATTCAAATTTTATATATTAGGAGCAAAAAAGTCGTTAATTAAAAAGTAGTGTAAGCTAATAGCAATCAATTCGCTTAAAAAGATGAAGCCCTTTTTATTATTACTAAAAAATTAGGTTAATTAATATTTTAATCAGTTTCGAGTTTAAGAGTGGCTTGATGATTCAAAGGAAATCAATAATAAAATTATATACTTGAATAAATTCTTATAATTAATTTCTGGTCCAAAATGGAATAAAAATGAACTTTAATAGCCAAAAATAAAAACGTTTAAGCATAAAATTACCTTTAGGTAAGCATTCAAACCAAGGTTTTTAAATTCCTGTTGAAGAAATACCCGAAGTGTAATATCGGTAGTCGAATGGACGATAATATTGAAGAACTGCAAACACGACACCTATAAGAAGCGAGAATAGCAAGATGGAATCAAACCCTATTTCGACTGGCTAGGTTAAAGAGGATATAAAAAATAATGAGATATGCTAACAAGGCCATATGTGTGTTTCCATTATTAAAATGAATATTAAAATATAAAAATTGAAAGTAAACGCAGAAAAAACTTGACAAACTGTGCCTACATTATGCCAAAATGAAAAAATGTTGAAATACACAAGAATTAGTATGGTACTGAATTCAATTTCAATGTCTTATATGAATGCAATGCGTACTGGTAGATTTTTTTATAAACGACGCTGAATGACCGACCAATTAATCATAATTAAGCATAACCCATTATAATAGTATAACACAGAATTGAGATTTTAAGCTCTTAGGAATTAGAAATATCAACTTATTTAGCATTATTGGCTTTAATGTTTCCAGTGTTTCTATTATCTCAAGGCGTTTGTGGAGCTTTAAAATTAATTGCGAATATTAGCATATAATATTCTTTATATTATATAAGAAGCGTCGATAAGGTAAATTATTTCTTAGGCGAAAAATAACCCATCCAAAGCGTCTTAAATCATTTATTCAAGGCTCGATATATGAGACTAGTTAGTCACATAGTTCAAGCATTTTTAAACTGCTTTCTGGGATCAATTTCACTTAAAACTCGAATGATATTAAAGGGCATAAATATGCACAATATTCAATACCAATCGATTTTCGAAACTGTTAGATCATTCATAAAATTTAGAGAAAAACTAGTTCGTTGTTTTATTCAAACATCTAAGAAGAGTCCACCACTTGTTGCAGATAGACGCTGTTACCATCAATCAATGCAAAACTTTCTGTCAGCTCAATAATTATAAGGTAAAATCATATTATATATTGAGGTATGTGTATTTATAATGAGGAATATAGTTCGCAACGTTTTGGCATAGCCTAATAAATTCTTTTATGCTTTGTTCGAAAAATGCCCAAAGCTAAACAGAAAGAGGCGTATTTCATTCATATATATGTTATTTAAATCGTTTTTATAAATTATTAAAAAAGAAATTCCCATAAGCTAAGTAAAATGGAAAATTTAATTTTATATAGAAGAGAAAAAGTGATGATCTTAAACCGAAATAACAAGACGTACCATGAAATCAAAATTGTAATTATCAGGGCCACGACTCTCATGAGTGCAGAAATAATGGACGAGAGTTTCAAAGCGATTACTTTCACCCATCTCTCGTTTTAGGTTATCAAAGGATGAAAGAACACGATGATGACCATTTTCAATCAAGCACAAAGCAGCCAATAATTCCAAAACTAGGGTCTTGGTTCTACAATTTACGAAATACAAAAATAAGCAACCAAATTATAGTATTTAAATGCTGCAGTGAAAGAATCCGACGAGTATAATTAAGTACATCCAAAAAATATTCTTAAAAAGTCTTACTGGTAATTTGGATGGAGGAAACACAATGCAATCACGTTAATTGCATTTGGATGCTCAAAAGTCATTGTACAGCCTCTCTAAAAAGTACGTATATTAAATCATACTGAAGTTGTGTAATGAATGAAACAGTATGAATAAACACCTGATTGTTAAGAAGAGCGCGAAAACATTTGACACATTGATGAAGTCCTTCCTTCATGTTTTCAGAGGCAGGTGGAGAATAAGAAAGTGGATGAGCACGGTTGGCTTTACCACCATGACACCAAAAACTCTGTCGATGACCTTCTTCCGAATCGCCGTTAAAATACTCATCATCATTTGGAAGTATATGATTATCCAGGCTTTTTCTTCTTTCCGATTTATAGAGGCTAGAACGATTACGTTGACTTCGTGATGGAGGACTTGGATTCTCCATTCTAAAAGTTACGGACAGATACAATAATTAAATGGAAGTAATATTACCGAATCACCAACCTAATAGTCTTTGACATAAAGCCTAGGAGAACATCAAGCCCATTTTGATCAAGAAAATCATATACCCATCTAAACCGTCATTGAATTAACAAGTCAGCTTACGAAACGTCATTCGTACGTAATGAAATCTCGGTGGCAGACAGGATGCTTTTTGCATTGTTCAATTCACCTCTACGTGAACCCTTAAAATATAGACATAAGCTAAAATTGTTAACCTTTGGTAATCCAATTTTATACGCCCTTAAACCCTTAATTAGAGTAACGTATTGGAAGGCCGAGGATTTTGGGTTTTTTGTCGCCTGAAAAATTACACAAAATGCTGAAGAACAAACATAAGTCGACAATAATTGTCTTTTTTGATCATCTGGTAACTTCTCTATCCCTTTGGCTTTTTCAGGACCAACATCAAGTGATTGAATTAAATTAGCCCAATTCTGACCAAATAAATCAGTATTCGCTTCATCCATTCTTAAAATCCAGGTTATTTCTATTAATTAAAATCCAAATATATATTGGGTAAAAATACATAGGAAATGGCAATCATTTTTGATACTCTATCCAGAAAAAATACATCAATAGAAGAAGACGGGAG